ACAAAATTTTTTTTTTGAAACTATATTTTTTTTGTCATAATTTGGCACATAAATCCCAGGTAGGGGCACCCTGCCCCGGTTTGGTTTACCCTCCTCGGGGGCCCCCCTGCCCCGGTGGTTTACCCTGCCTCGGGGGCACCCTGCCCCGGTGGTCACCCCCTCGGGGTTCCCCCCTGCCTCGGTTTTTCACCCTGCCTCGGTGGTCACCCTGGGCCCCGGGGTCACCCTTCCCCCTTGGTCACCCTGCCTCGGGGGCCCCCCTGCCTCGGGGGTCACCCTGCCTCGGGGTCACCCTGGGCCCCGGTGGGAAACCCGCCTCGGTGGTCACCCTGCCTTTGGTGGGCACCCCGCCTCGGTGGTTTACCCTGCCCGGGGGTAAAACCCCGCCCCCCGGGGGTCACCCCGGCCCCCGGTTTCACCCTGCCAAAGGTGGTCCCCCCTGCCTCGGGGGTCACCCTGCCTCGGGGGGTCACCCCTTTCCTCGGCGGTCCCCCCCTCGGTGGTCCCTTTTCCTCGGGGGTCACCCTACCCCCGGTGGTAACCCTGCCTCGGGGTTTACCCTCCTCGTGGTAAACCCCCCTCGGTGGTCCAAACCCCGCCCCCCGGTGGGCCCCCCTGCCTCGGTGGTCACCCCCCCCTCGGTTGGGCACCCTACCTCGGTTTGGGAACCCTGCCTCCCTGGGGGCACTCTGCCCCGGGGGTCACCCTGCCTCGGTGGCACCCTGCCTTTGGTGGTCACCCTGCCTCGGTTTGGGGAAACCCCCCGGGGGTCACCCCGGCCCCGGGGGCACTCCCGCCCGGGGGTCCCCCCTGCCTCGGGGGTCACCCTTCCTCGGGGGTCACCCTCCTCGGTGGTCACCCTACCTCGGTGGTCACCTTGCCTCGGTGGTCACCCTACCTAGGTGGTCACCTTACCTCGGTGGTCACCCTACCTCGGTGGTCACCCTGCCTCGGTGGTCACCCTACCTCGGTGGTCACCCTGCCTCGGTGGTCACCCTACCTAGGTGGTCACCTTACCTCGGTGGTCACCTTACCTCGGTGGTCACCCTACCTCGGTGGTCACCCTGCCTCGGTGGTCACCCTACCTAGGTGGTCACCCTACCTCGGTGGTCACCTTACCTCGGTGGTCACCTTACCTCGGTGGTCACCTTACCTCGGTGGTCACCCTACCTTGGTGGTCACCCTACCTCGGTGGTCACCTTACCTCGGTGGTCACCTTTCCTCGGTGGTCACCTTACCTCGGTGGTCACCCTACCTCGGTGGTCACCTTTCCTCGGTGGTCACCTTACCTCGGTGGTCACCCTACCTCGGTGGTCACCCTACCTCGGTGGTCACCCTACCTCGATGGTCACCCTACCTCGGTGGTCACCCTACCTCGATGGTCACCTTACCTCGATGGTCACCCTACCTCGGTGGTCACCCTACCTCGGTGGTCACCCTACCTCGATGGTCACCCTACCTCGGTGGTCACCCTACCTCGGTGGTCACCCTACCTCGGTGGTCACCCTACCTCGGTGGTCACCCTACCTCGGTGGTCACCCTACCTCGGTGGTCACCCTACCTCGGTGGTCACCCTACCTCGGTGGTCACCCTACCTCGGTGGTCACCTTACCTCGATGGTCACCCTACCTCGGTGGTCACCCTACCTCGGTGGTCACCCTACCTCGGTGGTCACCCTACCTCGGTGGTAACCTTACCTCGGTGGTCAACTTACAGCCGCCGTGTTGGAAAGAAATTCACGCAAATCAGAAAATGAGTTTGATTTTACAAATTTGGCCAGAAAGGTATTTTAAAATTCAGTCATTCGTGAAAGCTAAGAAAAAGATAAAGATTCGCCAAGAGGTTCTCATGGGGACGATCTCTGTCAAAGTTTCGGCAAGTGATAGAGTGACAGAGCTCTACACGGAGCGATAGATCGATATCTAATATACAGATTGTCTCACTTTTGCTGTTTAGATCCACCAGAAATAACAAGGAAGAAATTCCCAGCGAGTTAACAGAAAATAAAGTTCCCAAATAAACAATAAATTTCAAGAGATTTCTAATGACTTAACGATAATAAGGAAAGAATTTACTCCCGTGTGCATGGCAAGTGAGAATAAATTTCCCAAGAGAAAATTATAAGAGAAGAAATTTCCCAGGAGAGAATGGCTTAATTTCCTCTTCCTCCTCCTTCTCCTTCACTTATTACAAGCTTAATATATTGTTGAAACAGTGCATAGTTAAGGTGGCCGGAGTAACGAGGAGGAGAAGGTTGGTGTGCATGACGTGGCCTCCACTACTTCAGGGGTAAACTCACCTGCTTTAAATGTCATGGTTCGTGACTTCCACTACCTCTGGGGTAAACTTACCTGCTTTAACTGTCATGGTTCGTGACTTCCACTACCTCTGGGGTAAACTCACCTGCTTTAAATGTCATGGTTCGTGACTTCCACTACCTCTGGGGTAAACTCACCTGCTTTAACTGTCATGGTTCGTGACTTCCACTACCTCAGGGGTAAACTCACCTGCTTTAACTGTCATGGTTCGTGACTTCCACTACCTCTGGGGTAAACTCACCTGCTTTAACTGTCATGGTTCTTGACTTCCACTACCTCTGGGGTAAACTCACCTGCTTTAACTGTCATGGTTCGTGACTTCCACTACCTCAGGGGTAAATTCACCTGCTTTAAACTGTCATGGTTCGTGACTTCCACTACCTCTGGGGTAAACTCTCCTGCTATAACTGTTATGGTTTATGTTAGTTGAAGCTAAAATGGAATTAACAAAACAGAATTTCTATAAAAACAAATTAGTCTTTGATGGTTTAACTTACAGATTAAAAAGATTTATTCGTGTTAATTAACGTGGTATGCAAATTATTAAATAAAAAAAAATAGCAATTCAGCATAAGCTCTAAAGTTTAATTAGCAAAATGCAGGTTAACACTGCTTAGCATGCAAGTTTAATCCTTCTTATCATTCAAAGTTAATCCTGCTTAGCATGCAAGGTCAGCCTAACGTCATAAACTAAGAATATTAATTTGTTAATGAAGAACTATTTTCGCGAAGTTGTTAAAGAAAAAAAAGGATTAAGTATCGTAGAATATGGAAAATGAGAGCAGCACAACATGGCTCCGAGAAGCATATTATGATGTAGAATTACAGAGGGTCTTGGTATAAGGAAAGTTGTCATCTCTTACATGACACAAAGTTACCACCTGTGTAATATTATACGACACCGGAGTGTAGTTGCTCTTGTAGACTCAGGAAGTTTGATCTGCAGTAAAGTTAGTCTTGTTTAGTGTGTTCTTCGTAGGTTTGACTGTTCTCATGTATTTATTTCTCTCTTGTGAGTATATTTGTATCCACTTCCATAATTGTTCCCGCCTTAGCATAAAGCCATTTTATTATGTATGTCGTATACACACACACGCACACACACACACACACAAAACACACACACACACACAACACACACAACACACACAAAAACACACACACACACACACACACACACACACACACACAACACACACAACACACACACACACACACACACAACACACACACACACACAACCACACACACACACACACACACACACACACACACACACACACAACACACACACACACACACACACACACACCCACAACACACACACACACCACACACACACACACACACACACACACAAACACACAACACACCACACAACACACAACACACTACACACACACACACACACACACACACACACACACAACACACCACAACACACAAACACACACAACACACACACAACACACACACACACACACACACACACAACACACACACACAACACACAACAACACACACAACACACACACACACACAAACACACACACACACACACACACACACACACAAAACACACACAACACACACACACACACACACACAAAACACCCCCAACACACACACAACACACACAACACACACACACACCACCACACACACACCACACACACAAAACACACACAACACACACAACACACACACACACGACACACACACACAACACACACAACACACAAAAACACACACACACAACACCACAACACACACACAACACACACACACACACACACACACAACACACACAACACACACACACACACACACACACACACACACACACACACACACACACACACACACACACACACACCACACCACACAACACACACAACAACACAACACACACACACAACCACACCACACACACACACACACACACACACACACACACACACACACACACACAACACACCACACACACAACACACACACACACACACACACACACACAACACACACACACACACAACACCACACACCACACACACACACACACACAACACACACACCCCCAACACACACACACACAACAACACACACAACACACACACACACACACACACACACACACACACACAACACACACAACACAACACACCACACACACACACACACACACACACACACAACACACACACACACACACACACACACACACACAACACACACAACACACACACACAGACACAGACACACACACACACACACACACACCCCACACACACACACACACACACACACACACCACACACACAAACCACACACACACACACACACACACACACAACACAACACAAAAAAAGTAGTTCCATAAATTTTAAATTTATGAATTATTATTATTATTATTATTATTATTATTATTATATTAATCGGGAATTATGTAGCTTATGTATCGCCTGGGGAATGAAGGCAATCGTGTGTAATCTGATTAGCTTTAATTCTTTGGATCACGAGCCCACCAGCATCAAGGATGGGCCCCCCTCTCCCATATCTCACACAGTAGTACAACACTACTTACCATGTGGACAGAGGCACCTACGTACAGTAGGTGTCTTGAACTGTGAGTGATTTTCTGTCTACTGTCGGCACCACCATACCTGTCTTCGAAGCACCTACCATGTCAGTCACCTGCACCCTGAAACGGAAGCCTCGACGGTGTTCCGGGTTCTCATAGTCGAGGGGAGACACGGCTCTCAGGTCGCCACCAGGACCCCCGCTACGTCGCCCATCAACTCGAAACATCTGCCAGCCTCGCCCGCTGCCAGGGACCACCTGCCACACCACACCGTCAAGTCTTTCTCTCGAAGACTGAGAGAATATTATCTCACAATCTTCAAATTATTGCAGTTATTACCATCTTAATTAGGGCTATTGGTATTAACAAAATTGTAGAGATTATACACATCTTTATTTTCAGTATTGTTATCTAACCTTTAGAGATTATATCAAAAGTTCTAATTTGTAACTTACAGTAGCATTGTTATATTAGTTCATAATGATATCAAAATCTGAATTGATATTTTTATATAATTTGTAATGCAATTATCGTAGTGATAAAATTATCCACAATAAATAAATGATCTAAACTTGTAGAATTATTGCATTATTTTAATCCTGTATATTAATGATTCGATTGGGAAGAATTTATTCAGTGTATAACACAGGAGATATTATAAACTTTTTAATTATTACAATCATTTACTTCAGGAATTTCCCGTCCTCTTTGTGAACGGTAATGAAAATATCGGACAATTTACGCTCTTTGGAAAAATTCTACCCTGAAAATATATTATAGAAAAACTCCGCTCTTTGTAAGTCATGAAAACAAAAATAATTTTTTTTAGATATTGTAACTGACCCTGA